CCATCATGCCTGCCCAGATGGGTGGAGGTCACTGAGCCTTTGCAGGTGGGTGCACTGCCCTGGACAGAATTCAAACTGGCCACGCTGCCTCCTTTGAATATTATTCCACTTCCTGCTATAAAGAACTCTAGAGTGTTCAGCCAATCTGGATTTCTGAACTGGCTGAACGCATCAGCTTCAGCATGCTTCAACCAAAGGGTTCACCCAGTAGGCTGTCCATTGGCCTCTTCCACTCTCACTACCAGGGGGGAGGGTGGCGCCTTTGTAATTTTGTGTCAAAGTGAAAGCTACATGCTTTACACTGTATTAATATTTGTCCCCGTTGGTATCGCTTGTCCCGAGTTTGCGTTATGTATTTGGGTCAAAGAAGGATCAAGTGCTTCAATACTATTTCGTAATTCTCGGCCCTTTACCACCCTCTGCCCAGGGACCTCAAAGCAGTTGACAGACACTAGTGAATTAAGCTTCACAACACCCTTGGGAGGCATATCAGCACTGATAGCCCCATTTCACACATGAAGCACAGAGAGGTAAAGTAATTTGCCCAAGCTCATATTGCACAAGTCACAGAGCCAGGTACAGAACTCAGGTCTCCTGGGTCCCCATCCCATGTTTTAACTGTAGATTTCCTGAGACAGCATATACTGTATCCCAGCCACTGTCTCCTCACCAGCGAATCAACGTTCTAACGCATCGCTCTTACATTGTTCCCCCGATTCAATACAAGACTTGTGCAAACCTCGACATCAACAGATGTACCCCCCACAGTATGTAGTCACAGACAGTATGGAACCCTGGGTAACAAATACTGAAGCGAAAAGTTCCACTGCCACACTTAACATTTACGGGGATCTCCAAAACCAGGATCGGCCTTACTTTAATCTTCTCCTCCTTCCCCAAAATAATTCCTTCCCCCTTTACATTGAACATTTATATTGTGGAAGAGCCTGGAGGCCAACAGGTTGCTGCCCCATTGGGCCAGTGCTGTACAAAGACACAGAAAATGACAGTCCATGCTATAAAGTGTTTACTAGTGTCTGGATCTCTCCCCAGAGCAGCACAGCAAATGACACACTGATCTTTACTCTGCTAGCTCTGTCAAACCAACAGTTCCATGTTAGAAACATGATAGTCTTGCCAAAAAAAAAAAAAAAAAGAGGAAACTCTAGCAGAGGGACACCTCTGAGAGCACTGATTTCTTCCCGTCCAGTTTCATGGCTGGCTGGAGGCATAAGGAGCCGTGGCAGGAAGTTTTCTCCCTCTCCGGCAATGGAATGGAGAGGGAAAGCAACATAGTCTATGAGTTTGGAGTTTGCCCTGGACGGCAGGGCCTCCCCAGCAGCTTCCTGCTTCGCTTTCCCACCAGGCCAGTACATTCCAGTGTGTCCCTGCTAGAGCAACATCAAACCCCAGCAGCACTGGCAGACATTCTTCCGGGCTCCTCCTCCTTCCAGCGTCAGCCCCACACGTCTGCGGTTGCCCAAAATATTTTTTCTTGCCCATCGCTTCAACTACGTCACTCCCCCCCACCTTTGAGTTGCTCAACGGTTTCCTCCTGGCCCCATATACCAAGTCCGTACAACTTGCTGTCTCCTTTGAGGCTGTTCACCAGACAGTTACGACCCATTTCTCTGACCTGGTCTCCTTTCACATTGACTCTCCCCTGCCACACGCCCTCTCCGCTCTGCCAGCGTTGAGACCTCCTTTCACAGCACTAGTAGTCAGTATTTCTATTATGGTAGCATCCAAAGAGCCTGCGCAGGATCGGGGCATTTGTGCTGAGTGCTGTACAAGCAGAGGGAGAAAAAGAGACAGTCCCTGCCCTGAAGGGTTTACAGACTCAAGAAGATACCCCGGGGCCTTTTTTCTTTGTGCTTGGTTTGCCACATCACCTTGCTCAAGCCCCTCCTCAAACTCAGTTCTGCCAGGAAGCCTATTTTTAACAAAAGTCCCCCGCAGCTCGCAAGCTGTGCCCAAGCCTGGCTGACCTGAGTCATTCTTGTGCCTTCTCGCTCATGCTGCTGCCACCTGCTCCTGTGTGTTTGTGACCCTCATTTGTTGTGTCATGCTGAACTCACCTTGCCAGCCACAGCTGGGGCCATTCCTCTACTTGTTCTGAGATAGGCCTCGCACATTTTTGGGCGCCTGAAAAATAACCATCTTCTCGACAGGTGAACGGCACGGCCTGACACCACGTCTCACATATTTAATCTCTTCTACTTCTAGAATGCATTAGTCGTGCCGCTAGGAATATTAGCACTAACCAGTGAGCAAGTCTGACTATGGAGACTGTAAACCATCACTGTCTTAAATGTACACATGGATTTTTTAATTCACCCTGAAGCTGTACTGCTCCAGGATGCAGGTACAACTTCCAGGCCTCAGCAATGACGTTAGCACTTGCTCAGGAGGAGAAGATATGTTAGCCCACAAGCACAGGTTGACTATTTTTCCTTCTTAGTTAACCAGAAAGCTGTCTGCCCTTTCATGTCTCCAAGCTGCCTTTCTTCACAACAACCACTATCTCCTGCATGACTCATCAGTGAAACAATAGATTTTCAGCTCCATCCCACAGCAATGACACACAAAGAGAACTGTTCCTTCTTGCTTTTGCAGCAGGTACAGTAGTGTCACTGAGCTAATGCTGCATTACAGCTCTAGCAGCCTTGACAACATGCACATAAAATGAATCAATAAAAAGGGGAATCCCAAAATTCTACTGCAATATTTTCAAGAACCTTGGCTTGAGAATCATTAACTGAAAGCCCACTAATTGTATTAATGCATTGCTAATCTAACAACACACATGTGCACACACACACACACACTTGATCTTCTCCTTTTGAAAAGGTTACACTCGAAGTGAATTATGTCTGGGTTAAGGTCAATAACAAGTACATCAGGAAAGGTGGTATTCTTGCCAAGCAGCAAGTACCATCTGCACCTACAACTATCCTACCACGTGATTAAAAATGACAGGTTGGAAGTGGGGATGCCCTACCCTATACTACCTCATACAGAAGGTGTCATCCTGCCCATACCCTCCTGCACCCACTATCATGAATGCCAGCCAAGGCCCCGAGTTCAATTTCGTCTAGGCTCATCATGATGTAGGCCCAAGTCTAAAGTTCAGTTAGAATGAGATTTCCACACCCACTCAGCCAAAAATATCCCCACAAAGGAAGACCTGTACTTGTACATACACTCACACATAAAATCATCGTCAGCGACAGGAAGACGATTTAAAAACTATCATTAAAACTGATCAAAACACTGAAGGAGTCTCCCTGCAAGCAAGCGGGAATTGATAGATCAGATTGATGCACTTAGGGACCAGGTCTGCCTTTGTGTGTGTGGGGGGGGCACGCCTAGCACAATGGATGCCACCACAATATAAGAAATTAAATAATAATTGTAACATATACACATGTTGTTATCTGCAGGATGAAGATCACATGGAGAGGTTGGGGGAGGGGGGCTGAGATGAGCTGGAGGGAAAATACCCAAGTATAATCCTTGCTGCCCTATTTTTATCCAGTTTAGACTATAAACTCCTTGGGGTGACGACTGGTTCTTCCTGCATCAGGAGATGCACTGCTAAACATATTTTGCACTTCATATTTTCAAAGCACTGCATCACCATTCATTAGCAGAAGATCAGTGGCGGGTGGTAGGGGTGGAAATATTCTTTAACCCCCTGCACTTCTGATCTCACCAGCTCCGACTGGAGAAGCCCTTCCCCCACCCAACCACACGCTCTGTTGTAAGAATGAAAGTGCAGCTGTGAAGCAACCCAGCAGAAGCCCTAGAGGGAGTGTCCCCGGCGCACGTGGTAGAGGGCGGGGCTTGACACGTCATCCTCCCCCAATGAAACTAACTAGTTTGGAACGCAGCAACACGCTACATTCCAAATGAGAGAGGAAAGATACAGCCCTGCCTTTGCCTTGGCCCAGATCCTTCCCCCCCAGACGGAATCAAGGGCGCACGAGAGCACGGATCTCCCCACCCACCCATCACACCATTTGCTTGGGGGGGGGGGGAGGAAACAACCCAAGGTTCCCCTCTGCAAATTTCCAGGAAGGCAGAACATACAAAAAAGGAGGGAGGCGGAACGGTGGAGTGTATCATATGACACTCTATGTCATTTCATTATGCAAAAGCAGCCTCCCCTCACTCCTCTCTGCTGGAGTACTGCCACCGCCCTACGATCTGAAATACAGGAGGAGATTTTCCCCCACAAGGGGGAAAAAAAACTGTACACGTTACATATATTAATAACCATTGTACGAATTCAACTGCAAAGCAAATCGCCGGCAGGTTCTATGAAGACAGGCTGCGAATAACTGCCCCCTCCCAACCCACCAACACAGACACACTATCAGAATGATTAAAATACTTTAGGTTTTGAACAAAAAAATAAAAATAAAACAGGCTTCGATTGCTGTGACTTTTTGAACGCGATCGTTTTCACCATTTCAGCAAAGGGGGAAAAAAAGTGCATTTTGCAGACTCACATCCAAAGAATAAGAGTCTCTGCATTATGGATGAATGAGAGAGAGAAAAAGGGAGACAACGTTAATCTCCCGAAAATCAGGGCTTTCCGATCGCCCACAAGCATGTGTCAGCACATCGCTCTTAAACGCTCAACTCCCAACAAAAATTAAGACTTGCCTGCTTCAGAGGCGACGGGAAAGGCTAAAGGGGGAGTGATTTAACTCCAAGCCCCTTTGCAATCATCCCTTACATTTATTTTAATTCAGAACATCATGTACTGGAGACCATGCCTTTTGCTTACCAAATCAGCTTTGAAAGCAAGGTGTACCCTCCACCCGCCTAAGACACAGTAAGTAACACACAGTGCAGCGACGGGTGACTGGAAATCAGGCTGCTTTCTTGTAAAAATAAAAGACTATATTTTTTTCCAGCTTTTGGAAAATGGTGTCCTGTGTCTTTAAACAGCTCTAATTCCGATTTTACATGCTGTCCCCCCCCTCCCTTACCACGTGTTTTCTGTTGTTGCTGGGCTTGCCATTCCAGAAATCTGGCCGCTTCCAAAAGCGTCTCAATGCTCATCGCTTGGGTTGCCTTTCAGTGGAGGATCCAAAATCCTGGAGAGTTTAAATTAAAAAAAAACAACAAAAAACGGGGGTTTCCTTCTCCTTGTCTTCTCCCCAGTAAAAATGCCGAATCAGACCACCCCCCACCCCGATCCCCTGCGAATCTTCCAGACAAGAAAAGGGTTTGCAACAAGATGGCGATGAGTATGTAACAGAAACACAACAAGAAAAAAGGACTAACACAGCCCTCAGCTACTATACAGACTGCTGCAGACAAAACCCGGCCTGGATCTTTGTAGGTCACTGGACTGGAACTCGTCAATGCCATTTTGCAGGGGTGGAGTTTAACCACTGCTGTTTTGAGTGAATGCTTTACACAGAGGGAGCAGATCTGCCAAAGCTCTTATTTGGGATCCGTTTTCAATGTGTTGGATTTATTTATTTTTTAATTTCTCCTTTTCATGACAGATTTATTTTTGCTAGTGTGTATTTGAGTGAGACATTTAAAATGTCATCTGTCATTCAAACTGGCATAGACAGACAATATCTTCATGGAACTTTATTGTAACTTGGACTTGTTTGAGATCGTTTTTAAACTATCTACCGCTTAATCCAAAAAGACTCTGTCCCATAAATTAGACTGGTTTGGTCTGATTTTGGAGGGTCATTCATGGAATTATAATAATTATAGATGGAAAAAAATAGGTCATTTTGCTCTCTGTTCTCTTTCCCAACCCACAGCTACTGCAGTATCATTGCTTACTTGTCATTTCCAGTCGAATTAGCCTGTTATTATTATTATTTATTGGGACCTGATTTTTCAGAGGTGTTAAGTACCTCCAGCTCCCCTGGACTTCATCTGGACTTTTGGGAGCTCAGCGCTACCAGGCCCGAAATAGCTTATGCAGATTTAACAGTCATCTGATATTTTATTAACACAAACCGATCTTGGAACTCCCACCTCAGCTGATTTTTCTGCAGATGTCATGAATTATTTGGAAATACCTCTATTAACTGTACATACAACTCAATATAAATGACAGAGCTTTAATAAAAACAGATAAACATGACAATGTTGCAGTTACTGATTCTGCAAGATGGCCTATGCCAGGACAGGGAACAACCTATATGACTCAGTTTACAGCACCAGGTCCCTAGAAAAGGAAAGGGTACTGTATCATCGTATCAGTATGTACTTTTCAAATATTTAACTTATTATGGGATTTTACAAGGAAATGGAAAGAAGACAAGATGTTATCACAATTATCAATATATGCCTGTATGTATTACTGAATAGAAATGAGGTTCCATGCATAATACAGGACAAGCTAAATAAACTATGTATACAAATAGAGATGGAAAAGGCCTGTTAGATCATTTAATTCACCCCTTGTTGCCAACACAAGATTACTCCTTGCAGCACAGGGAGGTAAGTGTCATTGTACACAACTGTGTACAAATACAGATTAAGGCTACTTCAGGTGTTTCTGCAGAGAGAAAAAAAAACTCTGCAGCATTTATTTTGACAAAGACATCAGCCTTGTTTTCAGTTGCACTGTGTCCGTTTCTTTCACTTTGTTCATTCCTAGGGAGGAAGGATGCATCTTGCTTTCAGATAAGCTTTGCCCAGAGAGAGAGAGAAAGAGACAGCCCCATGATCCCAATTTATTATTATTTTGTATTAAATGATGTCTAAGGTCTAATTGCAAGGGGATGAGGGAGGGAGGTGAGTTTTCTGTGGGATGCAGGAGGGATAATCCTGTAGCCGGGTTTTCCACTTGGTCCTCCCCCCGCAGTGCGTTTGCATCCTATTAAAATATGTCATCCTGCCCTGAGCCAATCCGCTTGGAAAACAACAAGGCATGGAGCAACTCCACATGGGCACCCTGCTCCGTCTGCCTCCGACGGCGTCTTCTTTAAAGGGCCAGCCACCCTTGGAGTTTCCCCAGCAGCCATGAACAGCGCACTGGAGAAGGAGGAGGGCACGTTACCCCCGGTGAACCCTGATGGCTGCTCCTCCGTCAGTGTGCCACTGGGAGAGGGTTTTTCCTTCCCACGCTCCTGGTACAGAGATGCGCAAAATCATGGAGTATAAAGGGGGGGAAGAGGGATGGACGAATAAAACAACCTGCAATGGGATCAGGAAACAAAAATCCTAAAATGCTGCGAACACAATGAACCAGTGAAACGTTTTATCGAGGGTCAGAAAACTGCAGGGCACAGCAAACCTTGCCTATTTCCAGCAGGGCAGGTCTCTGCAGCCAGTAGGCGCATTGCATTCATTTCTGAGCCAAATGAATTACCTCCAATCAAGGGCATCCGGCAGACAAAGTCCAGGGCAGACGCCTCTCACGGTCTGCTGGGTGCACCTGATACCAGGTGCTCAGAAGCTGATGCAATCCGGAGCCCCTAAAAATCCGGTGCTTTACAATGCCCGGCCTAGTACAGGACACCGTAGTTTGGGGGGTATGTGCTTAGCACGCTTGATTTGGGTTGATCCCGGAAGCATTATCGCGGGGGAGTCCGTTCGATCTTCGGCGATAAGAAATTGGCGCATTTTTCCTGTACAGAGCAGGGCGTCTTATTCTGGGGGAGGGAAGGGGTTCAGCAGAGCTGGATGGATTCAGTTTGGGTATCAATGGCTCCAGTGAAAGGTACATAATGATGGGGTGCAGTGGGAGGTGTATTAACCTTGGGGACGGGCACCTTTTATTTGAAACCCAAGTAAAGAGGACGGTCCCTCACACTACACTGCAGGGTTTATGAGCCTTGGGGGAGGATGCATTTGAGTGGAGGTGATCGATGCACGCCTCAGTGCCAGGGTCAATGTGATGCCTTTGGCCTGAGAGGTGCCCAGATACTGAACTCCTTCCCCGCAGACACGGGGCTGTGCGTTATTCCCGGCCCCTTAGACAGTAAAGTGCACAGAAACTGGTGCAATCTCCCAGGCTCCTTATTCATTTTGCTTGTGGATCTCTCTCCTCTGCATTTTGATGATTAAGAAAGAAGAAGACAGATCTTGGGGGTGGAGGGACGGGACTGAAGGAGGAGGGTGTGGTGCGGAAAGAAAAGGCAAGGCAACATCTTCTGCGGCGTTTAATCTTTCACAATAAATCAAGAAAAACAACGTGGAGGGAGGCGGAGCTGCAGGGATTACACAAACCTCCTGATCTTGCAGGGGGTGGGAGCGGGAGGCGGAGCTCAGTCACCCCGGACAGGATAATCTGTCTAGTCATGGCTTGCTCTGGGCAAGCCTGCTCCTTAAAGGGACTGCGCCCCATTTCTGCAAAGGCCCCGCCGGGGAAACACGTGAGCCAGGACTACACTACGTGACAGACAAGGCAGGGAAGTTTGTGCAGCACACAGGAAAATGGAGCTGGCTCTGCCCAAGATTTGAATACAGGGAGTTCCCTGCTGTTATTCATCCCTGCTCGGAAGAAGAAGAAGAAAAAAAAAAAGATAGGAAAGCAGCATCTAAGCGCCACACGTGTACAAATATCTTTCAGCACCAAAGGGAAAGGCTTAAAAGTAAGGGCCTGATCCTGCAAAGCACCTCAGCTCCATTTGTCTTCAGTGAGAGCTGCAGCCGAGGGGCTCAGCACCTCTCAGAAGCTGCTAAGCACTTTGCAAGATCAGGCCCTAAAAGAATGCCGGCTCCAGCTGCCCCTTCGCAAAGCAACTCAAACAGTTCCTAGTTGATAGGATCTAACGCTCAAATAGATCAATATTTAAATTGAATTACAACTATACTCACAACAGTGCAATTACAGTAACAAAGGGGAAGGGACTAGAAATGGGAAAAGAACAAAAGGAGAGAAAAATGGGGATAGGATCAATAACTCTACTCCCTGCTGAATGAATGGAACTGGCTCTGTGGATATGGGGAAAGTGGTGGACAGGATATACCTTGACATTAGCAATGGACGGGATATATCTTGACCATATATGATACGGTCTCCCACAGTATTCTTGCCAGCAAGTTAAAGAAGTATGGATTGGATGAATGGACTATAAGGTGGACAGAAAGCTGGCTAGATCGTCGGGTTCAACGGGTAATGGTCAACGGCTTGATGTCTAGTGGGCAGCCGGTATCAAACGAAGTGCTCCAGGGGTCGGTCCTGGGGCTGGTTTTGTTCAACATCTTCATTAATGATCTGGATGATGGGATGGATTGCACCCTCAGCAAGTTTGCAGATCACACTACGCTGGGGGGAGAGATAGATATGCTGGAGGGTAGGGATAGGGTCCAGAGTGACCTAGACAAATTGGAGGATTGGGCCAAAAGAAATCGGATGAGGTTCAACAAGGACAAGTGCAGAGTCCTGCACTTAGGATGGAAGAATCCCAAGCACCGCTAAAGGCTGGGGATCAACTGGCTAAGCAGCAGTTCTGTAGAAAAGGACCTGGGGATTACAGTGGACGAGAAGCTGGATATGAGTCAACAGTGCGCCCGTGTAGCCAAGAAGGCTAACAGCATATTGGGCTGCATTAGTAGGAGCATTGCCAGCAGATCGAGGGAAGTGTTTATTCCCCTCTGTTCGGCACTGGTGAGGCCACATCTGGAGTACTGCATCCAGTTTTGGGCCCCCCACTACAGAAAGGATGTGGACAAATTGGAGAGCAACAAAAGTGATTAGGGGGCTGGGGCACATGAGGAGAGGCTGAGGGAACTGGGCTTATTTAGTCTGCAAAAGAGAAGAGTGAGGGGGGATTTGATAGCAGCCTTCAACTACCTGAAGGGGGGGTTCCAAAGAGGATGGAGCTCGGCTCTTCTCAGTGGTGGCAGATGACAGAACAAGGAGCAATGGTCTCAAGTTGCAGTGGGAGAGGTCTAGGTTGGATATTAGGAAAAACTATTTCACTAGGAGGGTGGTAAAGCACTGGAATGGGTTACCTAGGGAGGTGGTGCATCCTTAGAGGTTTTTAAGGCCCAGCTTGACAAAGCCCTAGCTGGGATGATTTAGTTGGGATTGGTCCTGCTTTGAGCAGAGGGTAGGACTAGATGACCTCCTGAGGTCTCTTCCAACCCTAGTCTTCTATGATTCTTCTATGATTCTAATGATGTCTTTCCCGTGATTCGTGTGAATGTAGTGTCAGTGAAAGGTACTGGGGCTTGGCAACCCTAGAGACTAAAGTCCTTTGTTTGTCTACAGTACAGGTACAGCGTGTGCAGTGCGAGCTCACTGC